TGCAATGCAAAACTAAATGTTTTTAAAATGTTTCCATGTGTATTTTAATTATTTGTTTTGTCATGGAAATACTTTCTCACACATAAATTTCGTAAATTAATGACTTATTTTCTAAGTGTGACTTTTTGTATACAGTCTTTCTCCACCGCATGAAAAAAAAATTTGTAGCTTTTCAACGAATATGTTTGTTATATGTAAGAATGTATGAAATATATATTTTCAAATATTTTTTGTGCGGTCTCTATCTACAGTACAAAAACAAGTTTTACTGTACTTCAATGAAAATGCGCTTTTCTCTGATCAATAATCTCGCTTATTATTTGTATTTATTTGTATTATTTTTGTATTTATTTATTTATTTTGTATTCCGATACTATGTGTGTGTTATTGTAGTATAAAAATTGCTCAAGACTCCAGAAATTATTTCTAATCGATCTAAAAAAATACAACAAAAAAAATTTTTTTATTGGTCTCACAACACACAAAAAGTAGTAAAAAGTGATGTTTGTTTTATTTTTATTTCCATAAAAGATGAAGCCATCTTGTTAATAACTATTTATTCCTGCGAACTAATAAAACAATTATTATCGCATTGTGCTACAATGTTATTACATGGCGTGTAACTAAGTATTGTTTTGTTCCATGCTTGCACACATGTGACTCTGGTTGATAATCATTCAAATGATTCCATTACAACAAGACTGTGTTGTTTTTACACGTTTATTGAGCCTTCAAATTTTTGTAAGCGATTGCTGATTCCACTCTGACTGTGAAGTGCATTTTGTGGAATCCGTTTTTTGAATGCAAATAATGGTAAGCCACTTGAAATTCATTGTTAACTTGTAGAGGTTTATGGTGAAAAGGAAAGAGTGATGAAATGGTCAGAAAGGAGGTTGGACCAGTCAATGATGGGGGCGCACCAATGTTCATGAAAAAGCAAGGAGGGGGGAGGGGACTTCTATTGTCAGTGATGGTTTGGTTAATAAAGTAAATGAGAAACTTCGTGAAAACGCACGATTCATAATAAGATTGTTTTGTGAAAGTTTCCACAATCCGCCGTTCAGCAGTGGCTTTCTTCTCTGGCTGCATCTTTCTTTGAAGAGAATAGAGACTAATTGGTTTCCCGATATGATAAAAAACTGCTCAATGATGGCAACTATGAAGAAAAATAGTTTCCAACATGCTCTTTCACTTAAAAATAAATTTTGTTTCGGAAAAAAAAAATTTCATGTAAGTAGTTTTCAAAGCGGTTCTTAGCTTCAGGACGTATGTCTAGTAGATTTTGTTACTTGTAATTCAATAAACAAACCCATTATAAGAACGAACCAGAAAGGAATCGAATATGACTAAAAAGGGCTCTGTACGAACAGAACGTCTTGTACTTTGTGAATAGAATTTAATAAATAGAAAAAAACTCTCTGTATATGAAGAGAATCGAGAAGTCCAGCGTCTGCGCGGTTATCGCATCGCGCTTCCACACCACAGGTCCGAGGTACAAACCCCGGGCTGGGCAAGGTTGACTCAGCCTTTCATCCCTTCATTGGGTCGATAAAATGAGTACCAAGCTTGCTTGAGAAATTTTCACTGGGGGTTTCACGTCAGACTGACTACCTGACCGGAACATCTGCTCATGCACCTCAGGGCCCAAGGTTACGAATACTGAGTTGGGCACAGTAGGCCTTGTCCCTCACGGGGTGTCGTGCCACTGAGTTAAGTTAAGTTTATGAAGAGAATAGAAAAGTCTTGGATAAATGGAAAATAATGCTATTTGAAAAGAGAGTAGAAGAAAATGCTTCATAATTGGAATACACTTCTATAGTGTTGCAATTTTGCATGGGGAAAATAAAAAAATGACGCCTCAAATTAATTATTATCGGACAAAGACAAGCAGACAATTACACGAAGACATATCGACGTATATTCAGAAAGATATATCATGACAGGTCATTATAAACAAGCTTTACAACGTTCCTAAAACAGCTTGGTAGTTTAGTTCCTTGTAAACAATGTCAATGCATGAACAGATTCTGATTTCGATACTGACGTAGCTATTTGTGAGAAGGCCTGTATCAAAGTTCCTTGGGGGTCCTTTTCTTAAAAAACAAATAAAAATGATAACTAATAAAACTTAATTGAAAGTATCAAAATGTTACACAGGTTCGGGCATCTGTAGCTTTGGCACCCCTTAACATTGATACGATGGTAGTTATGCCCCTGGATCTCAGCTTAGCTCACTTTTGAGCTGAACTGTACTTGGTTTCAAAGGTCCTTTATTTAACCTCATGGGAATTTTTAGAATCAATTCTGGAGTCTGTTAGATGATTCCTTGGTGATATCGCATTTTTCTCCAAATTTGTTATCAAGAGTGAAAAAGTCACCAATATTATAACCTTGGTCACATCTTCTATGGTTGCAAAAATCTTATATTTTTAAATTCACTTAGGGAAGCGAACTTTGCCTGTAAAAGTCAATTTTCGAACAAGGAGAGTATTGCTGCAGAGAAAACAGCACACGTGGCGTCTTCCAGTTAGAAGATAACCGAAGAATCATGAAAATATGGAATATAATTCTAAGGAACAAAAGAGGAGAATTTTTTATTCAAGACTACACAGCTTCCTTCTTTTCTCAAATCAAAACTGGTTACGTCAAGAAAAAAAACTGCCTGTAGATTCACAGATACGCAGCTGAAATCTAATACCGCAAACCTCTTTCAGCCAATAACAAGCCGAAAAAAGGCATCCCTCTCTGAGTAAATTTTTGATAATAAATAAAAAATCATGTCTAAAATAAGAATTTTACTAAGTAAAACAATACACGAGAGTGAATATGTGTATTTTTATGAATATAGTAAATTAAGACGTTAGTACCATAAATTACCGTCACCAATGGTAAGCGATATATTTAACTTTTTTTTGAGTTTGATGAAAAATACTCCTGTTAATTTAGAATCATCTTTTTTTTTTTTTTTGAGAAAACATTTTTCTGTCGATTTCAATTTGAAGAATCACATGATATGATCTATGATCTCTAAAAATCAGCCAGCAGAGTATCCTCCATCAACTTGCATTGAAAATTTTCATCTTTCTTCAGGATCAACTGTTCAAAACTTGAATTTATGCTAAATATCTGCAAGGGTTTTCTGTAACGATACCATCGTTTTGAAATTGTAACTTGATTATGAGTTCACAACCATGGCCCGTATACTACTCCGTTTAGTTGATTATTAACGTTGCTTTAAAATCTAATTGTTTCATTGTTTAAGCTTCTCCTTTCAAAGCAACATGGGGGCTGCGGTAGCCTAGTGTTCAAGATAACGAACTCGTTCTACTTTCCGTCATGAATTCGAGCCTAATACCACCTGAAGACCCACCGTGAAGAGGGTGAGTGGATGCACGTTAGTTATGTAGAGGCTAAACGTCCTCCCGTAAGTGTGGTATGGAAATTATTTTTTACAAGTAAAATGGAAATTACCTTTTTTACAAGTAATTGCATGGCAGGTTCCCCAAGAGGCCCGTCTCCCTTAAAAAAATCCATTTCTTTGAATAGCGAGATGGGTTATCATTTAAGTATGGTCACAGTGCAGAAAACCACAGAAATAACAAATTTTTCCACGCTGAAGAAGATCCCCACACGACAACAATACTTACCTTTCTCTTTCTCCTTCAGTTTTTTTTTTTCGATTTTTTGCTGCTCTGACAAGACTGCCATTTTTTCCCCAAAGCTGTGCGAGCTCGATACTACAGCAGAGTTTAGAGTATCTTTAAACTCGTACGTCACTCAATTTAAAATAACCCAGTGTGACTAGGGATTTAAAACCATCTTTTGCATGATCAGTTCCAAGAAAAACTCGCAAAACCGATATAACACAGCCATTCATATAGAAAAAAATCCCAAAGTAAGTACGCCAACGATTATTTCGACCTCAGTTTATCTTTAGTGTCGACTTTCTACCATTGACTAACGAAATACTGCTTCAAGAGCCGTGTTGGTACGACACCGCCACCGATTTTCTAAATGTTCCTTTGAAATTTTCCCGCTCGACTGCTGAAAAATCGTACATCTGGTTGTCTTTGTATCGAGGTTAAAGGCAGCCACTTTTTAAAATGAGGATTGTGTGCTAGAACGATTCAAGTGATTTGTACTAATCACTTCTTGTACGTAAGGTCAGTTCTCAGGCAAACTAGTACGATATATACTGAATATTTATTTTAGATTAAACTAAACACTCGGATTTTGTGTGTACCGCAGTAGCCTTATTACAAGCTTTTATTTAACTTGCAATGTAAAATGTTCGGGTGGAATTTGGCAACTCAATTTTGAAGTTGTTGTCATGAACCAATTAAGCTGAAATTTTGTATCGATGTTTAGTTTGAATGACAATGCATTTTCGATCATTTATATTCCGATATCACGATTAGTTAAAAAGATATTTACTAAAGTAATTTGTTCGAGTGGAATCTTGCAACTCAATTTTGAAGCTGATGACTTCAGCCGATTGAGCTGAAATTTTGTATACACGTTTAGTTTCAATGACAATGCCTGTTTTGACGATTTATATTCCGATATCGACCTAATTACTGTAAAGATCTTATTCAGATGTTAAGGCGAGCATGTTTAAAATAACAACGAAGACCGGGGGCGTAGATCAGATATTGGGGCGGTCGTTTGTAGTAATACGAGAGGTACGGGGACGTGCCCGCGCCTCCCAATTATTATTTTTCGTGTAAAATATTTTTGATTTGTTTTGATTTGTGTGTACAACGGGATATTTTACAATACTTCCACTCAGCATACGTACAAAGTATGTTATATTTTTACTGTTCTAGAGGGAACACTAAGAAGGCAGATCTATCAAGCTATTTCTATTTACTTTGAATCATTCTATGATATCTATTTACTCAATTCTAGTTTCTCCCGTAACATTTTTAATTGACCTGGTTACTATAACGATCTTGTTCAGGTGTTAAGGCGAGCAAATTTACAATACACGGGCGTCGACCGGGAGCATAGCTCAGATGGTTGAGCGCTCGCTTAGCATGCGAGAGGTAGGGGGATTCATACCCCGCGCTTCCAATTATTATTGTTTTGTGTAAAATATTTTTGAAATTTGTTTGACTTGTGCAACGAGATATTTTACAATGCTTCCACTCAGCATATGTACAAATTATGCTATATTTTTGAAAGCTTTTATTTAACTTGCAATGTAAAATGTTCGGGTGGAATCTTGCATCTCAATTTTGAAATGATGTCTTCAACCGGTGAGCTGAAATTTGTATACGTTTAGTTTGGATGACAATGCATGTTTTGTGTTTATATTCCAATATCGCAATTAGTTAAAAAGACTAGCTGCATGGCCCGGCGTTGCACATTCTCTACTTTTATAAATTTTCCCTTTTCTTCACAAAATCAGTACTTCTAATACTCTTTTTCAAAATGACTTCCACCCCCTCCCCCTCCTCCGCTTAGCCCTGCATTGCTCGGGCTTTTACCGAGTGTAAAGCTTAAAATTCCCTGTTTCGAAATTTTTTCGCTTCTTTTCTTTGTCAGACAGGTTTATATCCGCCCCCCTGCGGCGTTGAACGAACATTTTTAAATGCGTAACCTATTGTCATGTAAATTCTTCTTCCTCTCTCACTATTAGAGCTCTCGATTAAGTGACAATTCACCGATTCTTAAGCAGCTTGACAGGTGCAACCATATTGTGGCACAAAAAGTAATGGATTATTGCGCAAATGAAATTCATAAAAAAGGTTTTCGACATTTTATTTTTTAAATCACTAACTATAAAAGATCAAAGTATGAGTTTTTTAAAATTCATTTTCATATAAACGAATCGATATTGATTCATGTTAGAAAAAAAAACCAAAATATGTAAAGTATCGTTGTTTTGTAAAATAAAAAAAATATATACTGTATCGTGATGAAATAAATTATCTTTCTAATTACAAAATTGCTGGCGAAGTTATTAAATACATGAATAAAATTTTGAGTATTTTTAAAAAAATATCATAAAAACTAAGCGATGATGTTGTTTCGAACCAGGATACAAAAGTTACTAATCCAGCGTTCTAAGCAACCAATCCACGAAAGGTAAAAAAAAATCGTTGAAATAAAAGGAAGAGATATTCAATTTCGCATTGCGTTATTTGTTAAAGTTGAAATTTTTTTTCGGGCTTCATTTTTAAGTTAATGCCTTCAAATTTCATATATCGGCAACAAGTAACGGTAATTTTTAAACAAAACTGTAACAAAAATAATGCTTAAATATTTCTCTCAAAAAGGGAAAAAACGAAAAAATTTTTTATACCTTAATTTTAAGAATTTTTCAATCTTTGTTACAGATTACATATAATATTGTTCTACACACGGAAAAAATTTTCATGAGATTATTTTTATAAAAAAGAAATTATTAAGTATTTAAATAAAATTTTGAGTATTTTTTGAAAAATCGTAAGAAAAAAAAGGTTTTTGACATTTGATTTTTTAAATGACTGATTCTAAAAGAGAAAAGCATGCATTTTATTAGTGTAGAATAATATTTCATTAACGTAAAAGAAAATGCAATCGGAACGATTTAGAAATCATTTTCATAAAAACGTATCGATTTTGATTGATTTTAGAAAAAATCATTATTTTGTAAAATAATTTATTTCGTATCGTGGCGAGGTAAATGATCTTTCCGATTCTATGATTATTTTTTGTCTCCTAAAAAAAATTAGATCGTGTTTTAAAAACGTCTGGGATAAAAAAAAAGGTTGGAAAATTGGAACTTCGCCGTCTGGCGTGAGAAAATGGCAATAATTATGCGTTTTAATGTTTTTAATTAATATCTCTTCAACTAATTGCACTTTTGGAATATAAATGGTCAAAACAGATTCCTTGGATCATTCACAAAGCTTTTGGTACCTTCGGCGAGAAGATACACCTAGTCTTATAATCGCATACGTTTGTTTACTTTCGAATTTTAATAGTGTAGATATTAATTAAAGCAATTTTTTCGGGTGGAATCTTGCAAACGGTATAATTCTTTCTTAAAAATAATTATATTTTCTGCTTTTTACAATTTTTTCTAAAATGAGTCAAAATTGATGCGTTTTCATGAAAAGGAATTTTTGCTAAATCGTTCGGTATGATTTTTTCCCAAGTGTTATTGAATCGACATTCTGCACTAAGAAAGTTCAGGCTTTTCTCTTTTAGAACCAGTCATTTAAAAAATAAAATGCCTAAAACTTTTTTTTACGAGTTTTCAAAAAATACTTGAGTTTTTAATAAAACATTTAAAAACTGCGTCACTTTTAAATATAATTTCTCGAAATTATTTTTTCGTTTGTAGAATAGTATTATCCAAATTCTGCACAAAAATTGAAAAAATTTGGTTTAAAATAACGGATTTAAAAAAAAAAAAATTGTGTTTTTCGTTTTAATATAGTATTATAGTAAAAGCAAAAATAAAATGAGTTTTAATATTTTAATTAAGTTTGCTTTGTCTGATGTTGTTTTGGTCTTTCGGTGTTTATCCTCCCCCCCCTTTCCATTATCCTCTTGTTGCGGCCCGAGAGAAATATCTGTCATATTTTTGGCCTAAAAAAAGGGTTTGAGTACCCTTAGCGGGTGTTCAAAATTAACGGAAAACGCCCTTTTGCAACAATAATGCTTGAATGGATTAACAGACTGAAAAACTTCTGTCAAGCGAAAAAATAAAAAGTAAAAATAAATTAAAAGAAAAAAAAAATTTTTTTAAAACAATTTTTAAAAGCTCTAAAAAAAAAAAAAATAAACTTTTCTTTTAAAACTTTTTTGCTATAAACAAAAGTAGTTACAAATTTATGATATAAAAGTTTTGCGAGATTTACCTGTGTAAAAAAACAAAAACAAAAAACCATAATTGATTTTAATTTTAAAAAATTTTCAAACTAAGTAAATACGAGTACTTAAATCTCGCAAACATATCATAAATTGTCAACGACAAGTTGATAAAAGAAAAAAAATTTATTTTTTTTGACATTTTAAAAAAAAGCTTTTTTTAAAATTTTTTTCTAATTTATTTCTAATAGTATTCTTATCTCCTCGAGTGATTAATAGCAGTAGCTCGTCGGCATCGCAGCGTTTTTTCAAACATTTCCCATCGAAAATTACTTCCTCTAACATTCGAAAGGATTTATAGTTATCTTTCACAGGCACGGTGTTCTCGAAAATCCACGCCTGCAATCGATATCCGAAATTATCACAGAACCGATATTATAGAATTTATAAACTTGCAAAAGAATGATACGTTTGTATAAAGGGTGCGCCAAAGTTTTTTGTTTAAACCTTCCTTTTACAATAGTCTTCCTCCAATTTTCAATCCTCCAAAAAGTCAGTTTTTCGAACCGTTTCCACAAGTTCAACTATTCCAGTTTACCCCATTAGAGACCTATCTTTGGCTTTATTATTTTCACCGTACGATGTTTCCGGTACGTAGTATTTACAGACTCTCAGTTTAAATAGAACAACAATGCTAATAACGGTTGATCGTGTAAAGATCACATTCTGAAAGCGAATGAGAAATCCTTCACGTCACAGGGATATGGATCTGCAATAGATCCTCCATCCCCTATCTGATAAGTATTTCGGCGCTGACAAGTGGAAAACCTGAGTGGGAAAAACAAAGTTCACTGAGTTTGGTAGGGTAATGCAGGCGAATGACGTCACAGTCTGGGGAGTAGTAGACTTCTGATTTAGGTGGGAAAAAAGTCCCGAGAATTTTGACAGTCAACTGGGAGCTGTAGCGTAAACACTGTTATTAGTTGATAGCAATAAGTGAGAAAGCTCTCTAATGGCTGCCCTGAAGTTGGGTAAATCGAAATAAGAAATTGCTCATCTGGTGGGTGCAGCGATAAAAAAAAAATTTTAAAAGTCAAGAATTACAAAAATTAGAGATAAAAATATGGAGTAAAAAATTTAGAATGAATAGTTTGCATTTTCAATACCGGTGATTGTGAAGCTACTATTAAGGGGATTATAAGAATCCAGGAGTATTCTCCTGGGTCTCTTAGTTTTGTCATTTAAGTGATAATTTTGGGAAAGTCATTTAAAATTTAGATTATTGGTATTGAGGAGATTATTAAAAAATTTAATTGCATGAGTTTGAATAAAGTTTTTAAAAGGTTTAATATCAATGGCTTTATAGATGTAGGAGTTTCTGGTGTATCTACCAGCTGTAGTTATATTTCTAAAAAATGAATTTTGCGAGACTTCAAGAATTTTAATATTAGTATTTGCTGCGTAACCCCACACAGGGCAAGCATAACTTAAAATGGGACGCAAAACAGCAGTGTAGAGAAGTACCTTGTTGTTGAGAGTCTCTCTCATATCAGAATTCCGGTTAATTAGTGGGTAAATTAATCTAAGCGCGAATGAGAAATCCTTGTGAATCTCGGTCTTTTATGGAAAAATTAATTTGCATAATTCTGCTGAATCTAGCTGATGTCACCAACATCTACCGGTGATATTTAGTTCAATTTAACTAAAAATGTTTTTGTTGCTAAAAAATTGAATTCCCTTGTAAGCTCTTGTCTACAAATTGCACTTCAACATTGTTTCTTTCTTTCTTTTTTAATGTTTGCCGTGCATTTCAATTATAACTGACTCCAACAAACATCATAAATTCTGCATCTATACTGACAGAGAAAGTCAGTGAATATTAACGTCGCATTGTTCAGCTACTTGAGGGCTTTTGGAGTCGGGCTTTGTAATTTTGAACCATGGTCAAGTGACGATGACGACACCTAAACTGGCAGCCCCTCTCCTAACTTCACCACACAAACGGTACGACGTTTGAGCTTCGACATAAATAACATGCATCAATCATCTCTGCAAGGTGGTTTTTCAGCGGTTTTTGGTTCGAACTCTTGACACGCGAGTCTTGAGTTTGTTTTGTTGACCACTAGGCTATCGCGGTATCAGTGAAAGCAAAATAACTAGACGAAACTGTTCTTCGATTTTAAAAGATTTTCCAGATGGTAGTATACGATAGAATTGAAACAGGGAATTGCATCAGGTAATAAATTTATAAATCCTTTTAACCTTAACTG